GTAGAAACACATTGTATTCCCCTTTTAATCAAAGTGATTCACTTGTGTGTTTCATTCCAAATTCCTAATCCTATATCTTAAGAGTGGTTCTCTTGAGTGTGAGTTTTAGGTTCTAGTTATTTAAATAAGTGTGTTATATCTTATTTGAATGCTAGATTCAACCTCAAGTTAAGATAAGGGTGAGTAACATCTCTTAACACCAACTTGGCTTGTTCCCCTTCCCAAAGAAATACCCTTTTTTCTGTCTCGAGCTGTCCAGTAATCGATTATCAGTAGTAGAAGTCGATTATCTATCCTTCGTAAAACATCTGTAGTCTTCAATAGTTGATTATCACTTTCAGATAATCGATTATCAGCCTTTCCCAGAAACCTGCAATTCTCAATAATCGATTGTCACTCCCCCATCAATCGATTATCGCCCTTCTCAGAGAATTCCCAGAAAACTACCCAAAACCTGAAGCCTTCAATAATCGATTATCCACTTAGGACAATCGATTATCTCCCTCTCCCTGCAAATAAAGAGTCTGAGACTATAAAACCCTGAACTTAGATATAACACTTTATACAATTGAACCTTGAATCCTAGGCGTTCGTTATAGGGTTGGGTTGTCTTTTAGACTTTCAATTAGGCTTAAATTGGTGGTGTTTGTCACTTTTAAGTATTTTAGGTGAATTAGGGATTATTGTGCATTTGCAAATAATCTACACCAACTATCTTGATAAATAAATATCTTTTGTGTCAATGATCAAATCAAATTCATGAGTTAATACTTGGGATTGGAAACTTTCTAATCAAATTCTTTTAAACTTCTATTAGTTGCTCGGTTTAGTTTTAGAATTTATTCTCTAGTTTTTTTTTCAAAATTTTATTTAGTTTTAAATCAACTTCAAGAAAAAAAATATCTACGAATTAGTAGTTAACTCTTGCCTCTCTGTGGGATCAACCTGAACTTACCATATCTACGAGTTAGTTTAGTTTTATTATTTGGTGTTAAAACGACATTCACCAAATTTTTTGGTTCCGTAGATATGGTAAGTTCAGGTCAATCTATCCCACAGAGAGGCAAGAGTTAACTACTAATTCGTAGATTTTTTTTCTTGAAGTTGATTTAAAACTAAATAAAATTTTGTAAAAAAAACTAGAGAATAAATTCTAAAAGTAAACCGAGCAACTAATAGAAGTTTAAAAGAATTTGATTAGAAAGTTTCCAATCCCAAGTATTAACTCATGAATTCAATTTTATCATTGACACACAAGATATTTATTCCCTCCGTCCTAAAACTTTCTTCCCAGAGCACTATTCCAACTTCACGGGAATTTATATTTATTTGTATTTTTTCATGGCTTATATGATAAAATAAAATATTCTTGTCACCACTTGTTTTGTTGAACTTTTGATGTAGTTTTTAAATATGTATGTTTTATTTTTTATATTTATACCAATATTTAAATAAAATAGATTGAAAAAAAGTTGGGATTTTTCTTCATTTTGTGCAACGGGAAGAAAGATATAGGACGGAGGGAGTATTTATTAAGATAGTTGGCGTAGATTATTTGCAAACGCACAATAATCCCTAATTCACCTAAAATACTTAAAAGCGACAAACACCACCCATTTAAGCCTTATCAACTTCCAAACCCTTATTAGATACTATGTGACCTAACACTATACCTTGTTTTATCATAAAATGACATTTTTCTGAATTTAATACAAGGTTAGTTTCAACACATCTTTTTAAAATCAGGGTCAAATTATTCAAACAAGAATCAAAAGAATCACCATGGAGTGAGAAATCATCCATAAACACCTCTATGATGTCCTCCACATAATCTTGAAAAATACTCATCATACACCGTTGAAATGTGGCAGGAGCATTACATAGACCAAATGGCATACGACGATATGCATAAGTACCGAAAGGGCACATGAACGTTGTTTTCTCCTGATCTTCTAGTGCTATCACAACTTGAGAGTATCCACTATAACCATCCAAAAAGCAATAATATTCATGTCCAGCTATCCTCTCAAGCATCTGATCCATAAAGGGTAGTGGGAAATGATCTTTCCTCGTTACTTCATTCAATTTTCTATAGTCGATACAAACTCTCCATGCATTTTGAACTCTTTGGGCAATGAGCTCATCATCCTGATTCTTCACTACTGTTACTCCAGACTTTTTAGGTACCCCTTGCGTTGGACTCACCCACTCACTGTCTGAAATAGAATATATAATCCCAGCTTCTAAAAGCTTCATCACCTCTTTCTTAACGACGTCCATCATAGGCGGATTCAATCTCCTTTGAGGTTGTCTTACTGGTTTGGATCCCTCTTCTAAAATAATTTTATGCATACAAACTGAGGGACTAATTCCTTTAATATCTGCAATGCTCCAACCTATAGCCTCTATATACTTCCTCAACACTCTTATCAAATTATCTTCTTGAGTTGAGTTCAACTCATTAGATATAATTACTGGAAGAGTGTCATTTTCCCCGAGGAACATGTACTTTAGGTGTGGTGGTAATGGCTTAAGCTCGACTGGTGGAGGTTTTACTATTGATGGGAGCAATCTGGTGGTTGAAACTGGTAGATAGATATATGATATGTATGCTTTCCCCACCTTCTTTGGCAATACATCTAAGTACTCGATCATCTTTAGTATCTCTTCTTTCGGTGGTAATTCGAGTGAATTGTATGCTTTACTATCGAGACTATGCTCTAAAACCAAACCAAGAGTGTCAGTGGTTTCAAGCTCTACAACTTGCTCCGAGAGAATGTCTATTGCATCAATGGAGAAGACCGCATAATTTTCACTTGGGTAGGCATGGCCTCAAAAATGTGAAAGCGTACTGCATTTCCATCAAATTCCATGGTTAGAATCCCTTTAAAAACATCAATTTTTGTCCTCGCAGTCCTTAAGAATGGTCTCCCTAGCAAGATGGGAATTGGTTTGAGGTCCAGCTCATTCTCCTCCATTTTAAGAACATAAAAATCTGCTGGAAATATGAGATTTTCAATCTGCACTAAAACATCCTCAACTAAACCTTCAGGATATACGCTAGATCGATCAGCCAATTTTATAACAACACTACTTTCATTCAAAGTGCCAATATTTAGAGATACAAAAACTGAGTAAGGCATAACATTAATAGATGCACCCAGATCACACAAAGCTCTCTCAAATTTCTTCCCTCCTATAGAACAAGGAATCGAAAATGAACCTTTATCCTTGCACTTAACAGGGAGCTTCCTTTGAAGTATAGCAGAATCATTTTCACTCAAACTTACACTCTCAATCCCTTTCAATCCCCTCTTGTTTGTGCAAAGTTCCTTCAAAAACTTGGCATATCGAGGGACCTGTTTAATTGCATCAATGAGTGGTATGTTTACCTCTACTTTACGAAAAGTTTCCCAAATGTCCTTATCATTGTCCTCTTTCTGTTGTTTAGCTAACCTGGAGGGAAAAAAAGGCAAAGACACGTTAGGCGATAAACTAGAATTTAGGGGAGAATTGACCTTTTCATCCATAGGGCTTGCGTCCTTTTGTAGTTGAGGTGTTTCTTTATTAATAATCTGATCATCTTTGACCTCAGTTTCACGCTCTTCATCAACCTTCGGTTCTCCTTCCTTGGTTCTAGATCCGCCTAAAGCCTTGCCACTACGAAGAATGACTGCATTAGCACTTTCATTTGGGGTCCTAGACTGTGAAGGGAGTTTATTAGAGAGTTGGGACTCAAGTTTGCTTATTGATGTAGCAAGCTGGCCTACTTGTGTCCTCAAGTCTTGCATACCAACTCTAGTCTCTTGCTCAAATTTCAACTTCTCCTGCTCTAACTTCAACTGCCCATCCACTAATTTTTGCATCATGCTCTCCATTGTGGAGTTCAAGGTTTGACTAGGTTCTGGCTGAGATGAAAACATCTGATTGTTTCTATTCCCATAGCTCATATTTGGATGGTTTTTCCACCCTGGGTTGTATGTGTTCGAGTAAGGATCATATCTGCGTTGGGCAGAATTAGGAAATCTAAGTGCATTAGCTTCAGCAACTCGTCCTTGAAGCAGCGATGGGCAGTTATCAGTGTAGTGTTCCTTAGAAGAACAAAAACCACTGCATATTCATCTGAGCCATCATCAAGGTGGTGAGTTGGGATAACTGTTGATTTGTTGTAGCAATTTGTTGCTCAAGGTGTGTACTCCCAACTTCATTGACCTTCTTAACTACTACATCTTGCCTTGTGCCAAACTGATGAGAGTTAGAAGCCATAATATCAATCAATCTCCACGCGTCTAGGGGTGTCTTGTCAATGAGAGCTCCACCACTCGCAGCATCAAGCATCACTCTATCAACAGGTTGTAAACCTTCATAGAAATATTGAATCAGCTGCACTTCAGTGTACTGATGATGTGGACAAACTTGACATAGTTTCTTGAATCTTTCTCGATATTCGTACAAAGTCTCTCCACCCATCTGCTTGATACCGCATATCTCCTTGCGCAAAACAGCAGTCCTGGTTGCTGGAAAATAATTTTCCAAGAACAATCTGGTCATATCATTCCAAGAGGTTATGCAACCGCTTGGTAAGTAATACAACCAATCTTTCGCTGCTCCATCAAGAGAGAACGGAAGCGCCCTTAACTTGATATGATCTTCAGGTACTCCAGTAGGTCTCATGGTGGAACAGACAACATGAAACTCCTTTAGATGCTTATGTGGATCTTCTCCTGGCAATCCATGAAACTTTGGCAAAAGTTGAATCAAACCTGACCTGAGCTCTAGGGGTGCATTCAACGTTGGATATTGAATGCAGAGTGGTTGATGATCAAGGTTTGGTGTAGCCAAATTCCTGATGGTGAGGTTCTGATTGTTCACGATGTCTTCACCATCCCCATGGTTTCCATTATTTTCGTTGTTCTGATTCTCCATGTCTACAATCCCTGGTCGCTTTGCTTTATTCTTTTGTGCGTTCTGTCTCTTGCAAGTAGATTCAATTTCAGGATCAAATGATGCTTCAGGAGATAAACCTTCAGTTCTTCTGGTCATGCACTTGGAAGAAAAAAAACTATTAGAGAGAATAATAAAATTAAAGAAAATTAAAAATAACTTCAAGATGAAAACTTCTAAACTAAAAAATAATAATAACTAAGAGAAAAAGTAGCTAATCTACTTTGCTCTCCCTGGCAACGGCACCAAAAATTTGGTTAACACCAAATAATAAAACTAAACTAACTCGTAGTTATGGTAAGTTCAGGTCGATCCCACAGAGAGGCAAGAGTTAACTACTAATTCGTTGATATATTTTTTTTCTTGAAGTTGATTTAAAACTAAATAAAATTTTGAAAAAAAAACTAGAGAATAAATTCTAAAACTAAACCGAGCAACTAATAGAAGTTTAAAAGAATTTGATTAGAAAGTTTCCAATCCCAAGTATTAACTCATGAATTTGATTTGATCATTGACACAAAAGATATTTATTTATCAAGATAGTTGGTGTAGATTATTTGCAAACGCACAATAATCCCTAATTCACCTAAAATACTTNTTTTTTTCTTGAAGTTGATTTAAAACTAAATAAAATTTTGAAAAAAAAACTAGAGAATAAATTCTAAAACTAAACCGAGCAACTAATAGAAGTTTAAAAGAATTTGATTAGAAAGTTTCCAATCCCAAGTATTAACTCATGAATTTGATTTGATCATTGACACAAAAGATATTTATTTATCAAGATAGTTGGTGTAGATTATTTGCAAACGCACAATAATCCCTAATTCACCTAAAATACTTCAAAGTGACAAACACCACCAATTTAAGCCTAATTGAAAGTCTAAAAGACAACCCAACCCTATAACGAACGCCTAGGATTCAAGGTTCAATTGCATAAAGTTAAGTAAATTCTTAGCCAACCCAAACAACATTCTTCCAAACGGAAAAATATCCAATTTGCATCTATATTTTCCTTAAAAAAACATGATTGCTACTAAAATGAAATCTCAATCAAACAACCAAGAATTCAATTAGCAATAAACTCACAAGATTAATTAAAAAGTATGCATCCAAATTAATCAAAGTGATGAATTCAATAAAAAGTATCTCATAAAAAACATAGAATATCATGACAAATAAAACATTTAGCATGAAATCTCACGAATCAAATCATAGAGTATTAACTTGGAATTGGAAATTAAGAGTCTAGCCAATCATAATTCTAGAACAAGAAATCATAATTGAGAGGTAGAACCCAGAATTGGTGCAGGAAGAAGAACTCTGGTCGAGAGCTGCGCTGCGTCCGTTGCTCTGTGCGTCTTCTCCGTCCCAGAAGCCCCGGAATCTAAACTTGACATCTTCACCGAGCTTTTTATACTTCGCAAAACAACTTTTAAGACCTACGTCAAGGTAAATGAGATAATAAAAATGGTGAAGTAAAAGAATAATCAAATGAATGCAATTTATGATCAAAATATAAATATTGGCCTAAATTGCTATATAAACATAATAGTGATTAAATTAGTATAAAATGCATTTGGGATATACTAAAAAGGCCTAATATGGGCGAATAAAATATGAGATTTGACGACTTATCACCCGTCTCAGATTAACCCACAGTACCCCTTACGGTATCCCTCACGGTACCTAGGTACCTTATGACCATTTTGACAATTTTTTCATTTTTGTCCAAATCATTTCCAATTTTGTTTAAAACCTTTTGGATGTATGAAAATGATTATAAAAGGGTTTTAAACATATTTTGTGAGTGTTTTTGAGCTTGTGAATATAGGTATATAAAATCATATCTTTACATCGGTTTCTACCTAAATTCTACGCTAGTTTAGTGTTTCGACTTTATTCTTGAGAACCAAATCTTAATGGATTCTTGTTGTACCTGAAACACTTAAACAAACGTCAAGCTCTTATATTGTTTGTTAACATCAAAACATGAGACTTAACAAACCAAGGCTATCAAAACGGTTTGGCCTTGATATCCACTGAATATGAGAGTTTGGAACAAGTGCAAATGGAGACCTTGATTGAAGATTTTGCATCAAAATGTGCAAAGAAAATCTCTCTTTTTATGTAAACTGAGAGTGATGTTTTCGCATTCAATTTTTTTGTTTGTGCATTAACAAAAATTAAAACTGACATAAAGTGTTTGTGCGTTAACAAAAATTAGCATTACACCAACACAAAATGTTGGTGTATCCTTGCGGTGTACAAAATGGGGTACAAATCCTTGGAGTACAAATAGTTTTATCTAAAAAAGTTACCTCTATCAAACAGGAGAATTCAGAGAACATCGGGCCGAGGCACAGCCATGAGAAAAGGAAAAAAATCTTGCCCAACAAGTTTAAAAAAAACATTTGCGTGTTAAACTTTGAAAAATCACAATGACTTGTCGGTGGAGGCAAAACATTTAGGGAAAAAAACCAACGTAGAACTAAAACATTGAAAATATATCAAAATAGGACTTCTTTGTTTTTATTCCCGAAATAGGATTTACATTACCATACATAGACCTGGCAAAACAGAACCGGAATCGATTACCCGAACCGAAATATCCAAAACCGAAACCGAAATGACCCGAAAAATGAAGATCCGATGTATAACCGAATTGAAAACCCGAAATGATCCGAATCAAACCGAAACCAAACTAAATAATTCATATCCGATTTAAATCCAAAACCGATTAGATCCGAAACCGATAATATCCGAACCGATTAGATCCGAAACCGATAATACCCGAAACCGAAAATACCCAAAACCGATTAGATCCGGAACCGATTAGAACCTACATCAATAAATCTGGAACTATGTTTTCCTTTCAATAAACATATTATATTTTTAAATTTTTTGTTTTATTTTACCATTTGAACTAATTACATTACTTGCTCATTCCCTCATAAAATGGATTATCTTCTTGAAATAAAATACAAAATTTCATGCCTTATATTTATTATATGTAGAAATTAAAGATAAGTTATACATATAACTGATAACGCACAAACAAATAAAATTTCCGTAATTTTTAAATAGTGGTGTGATATTCTTTTTGAGACGAAAGGATTATATGATGAATTGTATAGAATAACTAGATTTTATCCTGATTGCAACTCATTACAATAAATTTTATTGATTAGTTTCAAACCAGTTTACTCAATATTAGTCAATAAAATTAGATGCTAGTGTTAGCATTTGGAAAAGACTTTCTAGCGACAGCATTTAGTGTTATTATCATTTTCTAATTTGATCTACACCATTACATTTAAGTGTAAAATTAATTATATTTGACTCTATTAAATTTAATTTAATCTATCTTCAACAAAATACTCTCAATAATTTATAAATTTTGCACTCAATTGAATAACATTCACCTAATTTCACCCAATTTTACTCAATTTTTTACCAAATTATATTCAAATGAAACATAACAATATTTGAATTTATCTCTTATCTTTTCATTTATAAACATAAGTATATTAGTAGATGTGAGAAAAGTTTGATATTTCAAAACTAAATTTTAAAATTAATTTAATTTTATTAAATTTTTATCATTATTTAAATATATATGTTTTCACAATTTATAGTCCAAATTTGTAAAATATGACTAAAAGGTCAAAAAGGGAAGATTATTTAGGGTACAGATAATATAATTAGAAAAAAATATTTAAAAAAAATATGAGGTATTGAATTGATGATATATTGATAAATGTGATAAAACATAAAAAAAAAAAATAGATAGTTAAATTTTAATTAGAAAATAATATATATCCAAAATATATTTGATCCGAAACCGAAATATATCCAAACCGAACTAGACCAAAAACCGAAATATATCCAACTCAAATTGTATCCGAAAGGAAATATATCCGAATCGATTTATAACCGAACCGAATCTGAACTGACTCGAAACCGAACCGAACTGAAAAATGTATCAAACCGAATCAAATCCAAACCGAAATTTAACCGATCCGATCAGAACTGAACCAATTATAACATATAACCGAAAGATATCCGAACCGAAAAAATCCAACCCGAAACCGATCCGATTGATCCGATTGCCACCTCTAACCATACATGTCCATATACATTACCAAAATAGTATAGTAATTTGCACATGTACACTACCACATTACCACAGGGCAAAGTCACATTACCACCGTGCAAAGTCCTATTTCGGAAAAAAAAACATGAAAGTCATGTTTTGATATTTTTTCTATGATTAAGTCCTATTTATGGTGATTTCTAAAAAATTTACTCACGCACTAAATTTTAACACCATTGATTTTAGGAAAGTACAAAGTGTGTATTTTTTTACGACAAGAAAAAAAAGTATTAATTATTAAGGAATTGGAGTGTAAAAAATAGTGAAATTTGCATTAAATAATACTCCGTACTACAACATGTTCAAAAAATATTCTTTTCATCAGACTTTTCTTAATCAAAGTTTGTAAACATTGACTCCGATATGTGGAAAATATGATATTAATGGTCAAAATGCAACATTGGAGATCGTGAAAAGTCAAATGGGAAAAACATTTCCTGAACGAAGTATGTCATTTTTCAATGTAATACTTAAACTTTATCTATTTCTTAAAAAATATTTAAATACTCCCTCCGTCCCTCATAAATCTTTTCAATAGCCCTTTTTTGTCTACAATAGATCTTCTCATTTCATTTTTTAACAATTAAAATACCACAACTACCCCCACTTACTTTATTTATTACACCTCACCCACCTAATTTAATACACTCCACCCATTTTCATTAAGGGTATTATGGTAAACTTTCACCTTTTTTCAACTCTCCTTAAAAACCACCGAAAGTCAAAATGAGAACATCTTAGGGGGACGGAGGGAGTAATATTTAGTGGCGGGAACAATGTTAAGTGGTGATAGATATTTAGTTTGAACAATGTCCAGTGGCGATAAATATTTACTTTGAACAATGACCAATAGTACTACATTGGGAATTAAAAACATATGGCACCATATTAGTTAAGTCATTATGTTTAGTACTCCCTCCGTCCGGAAATATTCTTCCCATTTCCTTTTTTAATAATATTTTTTAAGGATAAATATCAATAATATCCTTCTATTTTATCACAAATCTACTTTTTTTAGTACTTTTTTAATAATAAAAGAAAATTTAAAAGTTTATAGTATGTGCATTTTTAAAAATTTTACATTTTTTTACTATTCCTTAATAAGCATGCCAAGTCAACACAGGAAAAATATTTTTGGACAGAGGGAGTACTATTTAGGTAAATTCTCCATAAAAAAATATATATTTAAAATTATATCAAAAGTTTTAAAACAAGTTTTTAAATAACGATTTTATTATTATATCAAATAACTAATAAAATAATTTTAAAAAAACTAATTAAAGTTTGACTTTTTGAATAGTGATTAGGGACCAAAAAATTCTGTTTTATAAAGAGTGGACCCCCCACATCAGCACTGCTAAACTGTAAACCCAACCATTTCCTTGAAGAGTTGGAGAGAAGCGAAAAAACTTGGGCTGAATGCCTGAATTCAACGCTCCAAACAATGCCGTTATAAAAGGGTATCCATCTTAACATGTTTTACACACATTAAACTCATCTCACAATTGTAACATGAATGCTATTGCTAAGATGTGTACAAAACAAGTGATTTAATCCGAGATGACTGCAGAAAAAGAAACTTTATTCAATGTCTCCTCCTCCTGGACCGTATTAACAGCCCCGGCAAGTTGGGCATGCACTTTTTGATTTAAGCTGTATGCAACCGTCCCCGTGTTAAGTATTGATTTGAGCACCAAAGCTAAGAGTGCAGCAGTCGAGGTTTCTCATGTTTAACTACGTACAACAAAAGCAGCAAATGTATTTTTACCAAAGGGAAAAGGCAAACATGAAAACCAAAATGAAAATAACAATGCGAGAAAAGTATATAAAGTTACCATCACGGCAACACCTGTCTCGGCAAATCTGGGAATGCAAATGAGCCTTACTAACTGCCCTTCCGATCCTGTATCCAAAGCGTCATTGTTAAGAATGTGCCATTTGGTAAGGGTTATTAAATTTTCAAAAAAGAAAAGAATTTGGTAAAAATGAACTTAGCCAGTCAAATAACCAACTCAAAAACCAAATGGGGTCTACAGAGTCTTCTGCTGTAAGATCCAATATATGACTATTTAGAAATACTATGATTGAAGTACCTTTGATCAAGCTTGTATCATACTTATCTTGATTGCCCACAAAATAAACATGAGGACAAGATTCGATGAAGAAAGGATCCCTATCATCGTATGGATAGCACCCTACAACGAGGAAAAGAATCACTAACACAAAAAGAAATATTTACATCATGTATGATCACAACTGTTGATTCATATGCTGCTAGAAATTACATGGAAAATCTAAGAAATTAATATTTGACTAGAAAACAGCTGGTAAGGATATAATGCATCTTTCTACCAAGGGTATTTGGAGTAGTGGGTGCCAGATGCCTCCATCTCAATGTCCGCTCCATGAATTCAAGTTTATCTCTTGCTTCCGAGTACCTGTCAAGGTCATCTATGTTTTGACCTGAAGTTCCAAGAAATCTGAAGAGCATACAGTATCAATCATGCCAATCATTAACCTTTATTCCAAGCATCTACTCAAAAACAAAAACATACACAAAAACAATCATATCCTCACCTAAGGTTGTCAAGGACAAAGTCGTGGGGATTAGTACAAGATCTGAAAGTATTATATCTTGATGACCCAGGGAAAAGGCATCTGTGCAGACGCTGATTATTAAAGAAAGATGGGAACTAATGAGAGATTTTCCATAGCTTTGCTATGCAAAAAGCATATCATTAAGATGACCAGAATTAAAAAACCTGCTGTGGCATGGAGAAATTTGCAGGATCACTAGGTCCAGGCATGATATCCAAAGGTACGGCTGATGCAATCTGATTGAATAAATAAAAAAATAAATAAAAGTAAATGCGCGCCAAGATTGTTTTGTACAATAATAAAAAATTGATAGCAAGACCTGAGTCAGCAAGATATCCAATTCTTTGATTGGCTCTGATAATATTGACTGGTCCTTAGAACCTAAGTTCTGCAACAATCATGAAGTTGTAACATAAGAATGAGCAGTTACAATTAACAAATGCACACATAAAGGCACTAATTGGACATCCAATCAGATCATCCTCAATTACTATCAACTAACTTAAAGAGAATAAGGAAGGCACATGTTTGGAACATAAAGGACAGCTTCAAAATGCAAATGATTCCAAAAATATGTGTTACTCCGTATTTTCTTATTAAGCTTCTCCCTATACCCAAATAGAAACCTAGAAGAGAATATAATTTGGAGATAAAAAAACAATTAAACTGAACAATAATTAGAAATAGTATCAATAATAATAAGAAAATAAAGATTATGCAAACAGCTTGTATATCCTGACGAAAGCAGAGAGCTTACCTGACCATTTAGGAGCCCACTTGGAATTTTGACAGAATTTCCAGCAATGACTACTTGAACAATTTGAGATGCAACCATGTGGTCCTTTCTTATGGAAGTTGACAATTTTTTTAAAATAAATCGGTAATATTCAACATATATGTGAGAGTAATAGGAGAATATAGCAAGAGAAACCAAAACGAACCTTGTCATCCCCCAAATGCCCAGTTATTTGATCAATGAAAAGCTGTAACTGTAGGGGATTGGAGGTGCTGCTCCCAACACTTATACCAGAGATAAAAACCACATACTTGTCTTCATCTGTATATACAATAAGGAAGCTTCTATGCAAATTCTTACACATTCTTAAGTTTTGTCCAGAAAAGCAGTTTCCTAGTACACCAAATTCATTACATCGGCCTTGAAAGTATTCAGATAAGGAAAATTTGGGATGAGAAACACCTTTTAAGTACATCGGGCTGGTACCCTATGTCAATTCATCATGATTACATACAAAAAAAAACTTAAATCCATCTAAATGTATCCAGAAACTAAAGACATGTTTAGTATCACAGCAAGTTTTTTGTTTTATGATTTCAATGGTTATATGATATTTATTGTAAAATAACTTCAAAAGCAAGCATACTAATCATGTTAGTTTTATAAAGTGCTAGAGGAAAGCTGAAAGCCACCTTCTCTGATATTCATAATCATAGTTTAGTTATAAAAAACTAAAAAACAAGAAAAAGATAACAAACACAGTCTATATTGAATTATTGATCAGAAGATGAAGCTGTGAAGGTATAAATGTATAATAGATTAAGTCAAGAGAAAAACAGCGCACCTCAGAGAAACAGTCACATGTATTGAATAAAATGAGTGAGAATGAAAAAAAACGTGTAAAACAATCTCACCAAACTGAAATGGCCGCTCTATTTGCTCTGCTAGGCCAGCCTCCAAAATATCTTCAACGAGAAAATCATCAGCAGCAGTTTCTTTTCCATGTAACGCCACAACAAGTCCTATAAAGCATCATATCAAATAGTCAAATTTGATAATAGTAGAATGTTGTCAGAGCGTCACATTATGAATCAAATACCCCGTTTAATAAAGATATGCTAGGATAATGTAAAGTCCGATAAAATACTTGTATTGTTGAATATGATCATTTTATCTTTTATTACAGTATTTCAAACAATAGTTTGTGATATGAAAGAGAATTGTTTGTAAGTACACCATATATGACACTCAAAGCATATAGAAGATACACTTGGAGAACATGGTTTAAAAAAGAATTTTTTTGAGGCTTGCCTCAGTGCAAGGCCTTGAAAAAGGCAATGAGGCTTTAGCCTCATGTGAATAAATTGATATTTAAGCCTCATATGGTTCATAGTTGAGGTGTGCAGTAATACTTAAGCCTCTCTTTTTTTGTTTTAAGTTATGTCCTTGCTCGTTATTTTTTAGTAAAGGTCACATATGGTCTATGATTGTTTATTGATCCGTAACTAAGCGCTAAAAGACTATTTTCCAAAATCAACAGTTATCTTCACACAGTTCTACTTATGAGGTTCAGCTATTTAGCATAACCCGCAGAGCATTTGGCCCTCCTGCATAAGTGCAAACATTTCTTGCAAAGAAACAGAGCTACTTCCACTATTTTCCTCTTGTACTTTCTAGAGAGGTTCAAACAAACCCAGTTAATCTTTACCCTTTTTATGCGAACAATAACAACAGCAGTAAGTCAGTGATAGAATTACTTTATTTTTATTCAAATTGCTCCAAAATATCCATAGCTTTAACCATTTCTTCTCAATTATTTCTAACAGGATAACCATTCTAACTGTATATAGGACAACATTTTAGAAACTTTTCTTTAAAGAGTTAAACTTATGCTCATGGTGTACTAGGTAATGGCATTTAACTATGACTAGTTTCCTATGTATAAATGATGATACGTTTGATTTTTAGTAATTTTGATTTGTGATGGAAGTTTTGTATGAAGTTTGAGGCTTACGCCTTGCCTCACAGATGGAAAAGGCCTCAAGGCTTAGAAGCACCTTTTAAACATGGCTTAACTGCTTAAGATGACTAACTCATTTATTTTCAATTCTAACCAATTTGTGTTTCAATACCATGAGTCAAATGTTGAGTTCACAATTATTTGTATTCAACATTTGCTAAAAATCTCCATTGCTGCTGCCAAAGCAGCTAGGGACTTGAGAAACTATTAACTGCACCACACAACATTCCATAGCAACTAATGATGCAAACCTGTTACATATGTCAAAGGCACTAACAAACTACCACCTAGTTTGACCCTTCCACTTTCATCTTCCATAATCAAACTATCATCAGGATGCGTGAAACGTTGACTCTGTATAAGCTGTGTAGGAGATCTCTGTGTGCCAGAAATTTAGTTATTAGTGCCTTTTAGTTATGCAGTGATATAGTTCAAACTTCAAAAAAACACAAAACAAAGAATTGTAGATGAAGAGGACAAATTAAGACTTATTGAGTAGAGTTGTATACCCCCTTAGAGTACTCATCCAGAATGCAAGGTTTAAGCTTCATATGCTTATAGAGGGTCCCAACAATAATGCATTCTTTCCCCATCTCTAATCCCAGAACATTGCAAACTGCAATAGAATAAAACTAATGATCAATTTATATTAGCAAAGGTAAGCTCACACAGTGATTACTTAGCTGATGCAAATTGCTCCTTACTAAAAAAACATTACAAAATAAGGGTAAAATTGGCCACAAATCGGTAGTTGTGTTGCTTCCAATAGTTTCCAAAGAAATGCAGAGAATGGGTTAACTAAAAGCTCAAGAGATATGGTAAAAACAAAAAAGTTCTTTGAATCAAATTAAATCTTTCTATATTGTTACCTAGAGCAATCTTCTTACAGGTAAAATTGGAAGTAGACTAAGAACATAACTTCTGCCTTGAATTAGGTCCTGATATAACCTTGGAATATTGATAAATCATCACTAAAATTTCAGAATAAAGAAATAAAGGATGATGGTCACCGTCCTAACCTTATGTACAAAGTAACATCAAACTAATGGAGAAATAAATAACACTCAAAACAATCCCGTACAACTGCAAGGCATGTTTTGTCCCAGAACATCAACAGAAATTTTGATATAAACGGTCTAGGAAGTTCAAAATATAGGAGAACTATTGGGATCGAATTTATAACAAAAAAACGTGCATATATACTGCTAAACGCATTATTCAAATGCACATTTTGCACGAGATAACTGCGAATAGGGCCAAGAAACGGATACCAGGCAAATGTGGTTTCCAATTTGGGAGAAGAGAGTATAAGAGAGTTCTCATCAAGTGAAGTCTAGCAAAATAAATTTGGCTGTACTGTTGACCCCGGTACGTTAACTTCTGAATCTCAAACCTTTCGTCCTGAAAATTCAATTAAATACTACGGAGTAATAAATATACGTGTGTTGAATTGAGCGTATGCTGTGAATAGAGTTGGAAAAATGGGTCCAGAAGAATATAGGGTTTGTTTTGGTGTTTTACCAAGGATTTGTAGAGGGCTTGCTTCCTCTGGAGGAGCCCGTTGCTCTCGGAATCCACTTCCATGGCGGCCAAATGAACTCTGTGTTCTACGGAGGAGCCTCCTTTTTTGTGCTGCCGCGCTAAAAGGCAAAACTAAAGCGGTGTGTTTGGTAGGCTACTAGATTTTACTCGTGCGATGCAGGATCAGAATAATATAATAATAAATCACTTTATTCTTGTAAAGAATTTAAATGTTTTAAATCATGTTATTATGGTGAAAAATACAATTTAATATATATCACACCCAAATACTGCATTTATCGAACAACAATGCACTTTATAGTTTTAGATCATATAAGAGTGCATTACACACAAATAAATTAAACATATAAGAATGCATTATAAATTCTGGAAGACTTCTTTATATACAACATTTGAAGTGTAGTCCAAAGGATTGTTTTCTTCATCACAGCATAGGATCTTCAGTCCTTCACGATTCGTCACACGAGAGAGAGTAACATATAGCTGACCGTGACTGAAGACTGGTTTTTTAAGTAGTAGCCCAACATGCGATAAAGATTGACCTTGACTTTTGTTAATGGTCATTGCATAAGAAGTCATGACAGGAAATTGTTTCCTTTGAAACTTGAAAGGAATCCTTTTATCCGAAGGAGTCAATGAAAGTCTTGGGATAACAACTTCATGGCCGTCATTTTTTCCTCCCATGACTTTTCCTTGAATTAGATGCTTCCCCAATTTTGTCACTATTAATCTTGTACCAGTGCACAGACCCAAAGACTGATCAATGTTTCTAAGAAGCATGATTGGGGTACCGACCTTCAACGTAAGCACATGGTTTGGAACACCTGAAGCTCGAATGCCATTTAAAAATTCGGGTGAATGCAAATCAGATAAAACATCCACGTTTGAGTCTGACTTACAAATGCTATCCGAGCTTAAGTACGTTTTGGACTCCTCCACATTCTTTGATGTCATGTAATCATTAACAACATCTACCACATCTAATGTTGGCGCTAGAATGGCTCTATGTTGCAAGAAGGATGGGTCGTTTGCGATGATGTTAAAATCTGGGTATGTTGATTGCACAATTGCCTCGATAAGATCATTGGAGTATTTCAAAATAATATCATCAGGAAGAACAATTTTTGCACACCCATCCTGTTCATCGCCTACATTCCCATCACCAATATTAGCAATCCATTCTGCGAATTCAACCAAAGTATGATAGTTTTCTGCGTGCACCATAGATTGCAATCTCATATTTTCTGTTAAACGCAGAACTATACAATGATCCCAAAGGTATGATGAATTGATTGTTGCACTAACAATATCCTGTCTGGTTCCCTTGGGAATTACTGGTAAGATTTGACGAAAATCACCGCCAAAAACAATTGCTTTCCCCCCAAAGGGTTTATTGTCATTTGAAGGACTAATCGAACTCATTATGTCCTTCAAGCTTCTGTCCAATGCTTCAAAGCAGTGTTTATGTGTCATTGGTGCTTCATCCCAAATGATAAGTTTGGCGCGAATTAATAATTCAGCCAATGAAGTACCTTGCTTGATGTTGCAGGTGGAACTCTCGTCTGGATGTAGTGAGATAGCAAAACGTGAATGTGCAGTTCTTCCTCCCGGCAACAATAACGATGCAATACCACTCGATGCAACATTCAACACTATTTCTCCTTTTGATCGGTAAAACGATGATAAAGTTTTCCAAACGAATGTTTTCCTAGTTCCTCCATAGCCGTATAGGAAGAAAACTTTCCCGTCTCCATTGTCCACCGATTCGGAGATATTATCATATGCTGCACGTTGTTCAACATTCAACTTCAGCAACAAACTTTGGTGTTCGTGACTTAAAGCGATGCGGTCATATTGCAATTCATCATAAATCATTCTATTCCTCGACACATATATTCTCCAAATTTGGATATGGCATTCCAACATATTCATGCAAGCTCTTGCCACGTACTCTCAACAATGCCTCGATTTCGATCAAGGCATAGTTTCGTAATTCATCTTCGCTCAGTACCAAATCTAAAAATAAAAAATAAGCTAGAATTACAAATATCATGGTATAAGAGATATATAAGTGATTTGATGTATATCGGGAAATAAAATCTTATTTCACCTGGATGGTTAAGTAGTCGTCATTGACGAAATAAGATATCATCGGCCATGCACTCCCAGCATTCCTCCCATACGTACTTAGGCCTAGACATTGACTCATTTGTAAGCAAGGTTACAAACAAACATCTCAATTGTCCTGCCGATGCCCAATGGCTGCCTTCATTGAAAGCATCAAGATATTCCTTATCATCGTCCAATAATCCAAGAGCGTAACATGTTTTGCGGTAGGTATTATGTACACAACCGTCTACTGTCCTTATATCTTCATAGTTCGTCGGCCCACAAACTATATTGAGTAAAATTCTCAAATAGTATGGTTCACCTAAACCCGGAGGAACATATGTTAGCCTACCTATAGCAAATCCTCTTTGACGTGGGACAAACTCTCTTGTAGCATCTTTCCATACAAAATGTTGGGGAAATTCAGCATATGTTAAATTCTTCGCGTGAGTATATTTCTTATTTGCTTTCATCCAAGCTAGAAATTTGCTCTCTCGTATACTCTCACGACACACAACTTCATGGGGATTGTCACCATCTTCAAAAAATACCCATTGTTCATTCGGTAAGTGAAAGCTCAGGCGTTCCACGTTTGGAAATTTGAATTGAATTGGAAATCCAAATATCCTCCATGCAGCCTCACAGGGAGAGACGTATCTGCAATTGTAATACATCTTTATTTCATTCGGAGGCTTTGCTGATGTATCCTGTGTAGTATTTATATTAGCATAAAATTCTGCTGTGACACGATCATGCCCTTTATTTATGTACTTGAATAAGTACTTGATTGATCGTGACTGATTGCACCATTCAACATTAAGATGAGCACCGTACTTCAAAAGGAGATAACGATTATGTGGGACTACATAACGGTTGTCAAGTGTTACCCCATTCTTCGTGACTGTTCTATCATCATTCCTCCTTCGATATTTAGGATACCCATCTTTGTCAATGCTTGTCTCCTCATTGAATTTTTTTGGAAAGTGCTTTTCACATTTTCCATTCTTCATACACAGTGCACGAGAAGCATTCTGACCGCATGGGCCATGAATCATAAAATCTCGAACTGCATTGTAATATGCGGGATCGGTCTCTTCATCGGGTAACTCCGCTGAAATAATTCGATCAATGTCTTTCGGAGTTGGAAACTTGTGTTGCTGGCTTAGAAATAGCAAAATGTGGGCATGCGGCAAACCACGTTTCTGGTATTCTACTGTATAAATTGCTGCAAGTGTGAAGATCAAGTAGTTATTTTATGTACTAAACAATACCTGTCTGTCAAATAAATAACACATATAATTAGTTATCATATTACCTGCTCGAATTTTTCCAAATAACTCATTCTTCTTCATATCATGCATTAGGCCGTTCAACTTAACATTAAACACCCTACATGCAATATCAGGTCGATCTTGAGCACTAAGATTTCTGGCATTTAAATATCGTTCAATTTCGGGCCATTTTGGATTGCACGTAAATGTTAAAAATAGATCTGGATATCCAATCCACCTACATATAGCCATTGCATCTTGATAATTTTGAATCATGTATCGCGCCCCCCCAACAAATGACGGAGGTAATACAACACGTTTTCCCTTTGTCGACGCATCATTATCATCTCTTAACAATGAATTTGATAAACGATTATACATCTCACATCACATCTCTTTTTGGTGCGTGCTGTAATAACACAACCTTGATGATTCCACCATTGTGAATCCATCAACACAAACTTCTTGAAATAATCTGCGTGAGTGAAGTATAAAAGGATTTTCTGTTTCCCTCTCGTGAAATTTATATGCAAGAAATTCCCTAATGCTCACACTTCTTCTTCCACCAACATTAAATGCATCCGCATCTCTAAAAGGAATATCTTCACGATATCCATCTTCACCATACGAGAAAAGCAGTGGATACTGTAGAGCTAAATAAGCAGGATTGAGCTCGCTTATTCGTTGCAATTTATCTGAATGTGTCCGTACCACAATGTCCCTCTCTCCCACCGACCGATCAATATCACCAACAACCAATGCAGCAACTTCGTCAACAGAGGGTAGATTATATCTCCGCGGATCTGTGGTTCTCTTCCCTATAAGTCTCAAAGAAACTGACACATCTCCGACTTCTATAATTTTGTCTCGAGTGATACGAAATGACTTGACCAAAACATTGTGCCCGTCCAACATTGCCCTTAACATCACCACAATCTCTCTGTGTAAACTATCAACACGGTCCTCTCCCTTAAAGAATTCAAATAAAATATGTCCTTTAATAATGAATAAAATGCACATCATGTATATACAAAAAACACGGTAGATGAGAAACTGTACCTCAATGCATTGATTCGGTTGAAATCTTCGTTTTGGGTATTGTAAATATATAACTGAGCAAACTTAGGACGTGAACCGTCATCTGGGAGTAAGCTACCGATTCGGTGGTGATTTTTTCCTCCTAACTTAAAAACTGGAGGGCCACGACCTGGGTTTTCATCTCTCTAAATTTTCCCTCCCAATGATGTGAATGAAAACATGCAGTTGTATGAACGAATATGTGTCTGAAAATGCTTACTCTGTGCACTTGATCCATACACTAATTGTTCTAATTCTTTTGGAGGTTCCTTGTTTGCTGCAAGAGTAATCTTTCCATTCTTGCAACACAACGAATACTTTGGGTTTCTTTTTGTCGAAGTACTAACAATCCTCTCTTCATACCAGAAAAAAGCCTTACAATGTTGGCAGACATAAGTTGGATCGCCAATGTCCCAATACTTGATCGTTGGAAGTTTATCGACTTGACTTGTGAATAATTTTTTACTCTTACTCAAATGATCTTCGTAACACATTTCAGAATCCGAGCCGACGTCATTCGAAACTAATACCCCACCAGAGTCTTGTACATTTTCACAAACATCGGGATCAATGGCCCATCTTTGCAAAAGTAGCGAAGGCAATGTTATCATCTTATATGTAGATGTCGATGGAACGACAGTACCTGTTTCATCAAAATAATTTTGTATAAAATTAAATATAAACAATAAAATCACAATAGGTAGAGAAATAGTCAGATAAATGATGTGTGTACAAACCTTTATTCACACTGTAGAGCTTTTCTTTATCTTTCAGATTAGGGTCAACACCACTTCTAGCTACATCCATGGTTTGGCGTTCAGATTCTTGATAGCATCGGAAGTTAGAACTTGTAGAATTCGTATCAATTGAGCGCAAGGGACGCAAAGAATTAGGTGTATGAATTGATGTTCTTGAAAATATTAAAAATCATTAAAAAAAGAGTAATAAAATATTACATTAAACTTATGTAAAATATATATTAATTTAAACTAAAGTACATATACCATGAGTAAAATTTGCAGATTTTGTTTGACCAATATTGCATCCACGGGTCAAATTGAACTCAAAAACCCCTGATGATGGTTTTGATCGAATTACCCGTTCATTTTCTGAAAAACAATCCACAATTAAAATTTAGTATTCTTAAATAATATAAAGATTTACATTCATAGTTTAATATCAATGTGTTTTAATATAATATATTCAAAATTAAATTATAATTTTAGAATATAATATTACATAAATGTCATAAAATGTTTTTTCTACATTATCTAGTGTATAAATTTCCTAACCCAAACCAATAATCTAACCCAATTGTCCAGCCCACCCAGCCCAATGTAACATCCCAGCCCGCCACCCTAACCCCATACTACACCAAGCCCACAACCCAGCCCTAAATAATACGGAGTAAACCCTTAATATTTATACCATACGCCGCTTCACTCTCTCTGTCTTCGTCTCTCTCTCTCTCTTTCTCTCTTACTCTTCTATCTCTAACATATTCAAATTTATCTTCTTCATGTCTATTTTCTAATTTTTTTTGTTTCGTGCTCATCGTGTCGATGAGAAATTGAAGCATTGGTTTCGAGACATATATATTTTTTGGAATAATCACTCTCTATGTAGTTTGATTTTTGTTTGTTTCGTGTTCATCGTGTCGATGAGAAACTGAAGCCTCAGTTTCGAGACTTTGATTTTTCTTTTGGATTAATCTCTCTCTCTATGTTTTGATTTGATTCCTGATGATTTTTCCTATTTTTTGTTTTTTGTCATGTTTTTAGTGTTTTACATAGGCCGATTCTATACGAAGATGAAGTCTGGGATCTATTATCAAGGTCTTTACTAATGATTCTTCTTGGGTAATAGATCTACTATGAGTTTATTTGAGCTTTAGGTACATTCCGAAGGGTTCATGTGCAGTTTCTGTGTTTTTTTTTTGCGTCGAATCCCAAGATCTTCGATTTTTATTCAAGATCTAATAGAATAATTTTTCTGTGATGCCGATGGCTCGAGATCAGTACTTTTCATTGGTGTTTTTTGTTAATCTAAGATATATTATCTTGGCCGATGGGTTTATAAATATTTTTTATTATATTTGAATTTCAGTCCGAGATCTACAAATTTGTTTCAAATATGCAACAAAATATTTTTAATTTTGAGCCCATGCATATAATTAGTCCTTGTATTTAATAAAAGTCAAATGAGCTTTTTTTTCGGGTGAAGTAATTAATCTAGTGCAGATGCAAAGGGTTTTGATTTTTTATATTTGCTCCTCGGTCCGAGATCTACAAATTTTTTCAAACACACAACAAAATATTTAAAATTTTGAGCACCTGCATTTACGAATACTATATCTATCAGTGCTTAATGGAATTAATGCTCCAGAAGTCAGAGATTCCTAGCTATGTCTGCTTTGAAAGGTATAATTTTATTTAGTTTTAACTTTTTTAATTAATATTCTCAAGAAATATTAAATAAATGAACCAAAAATATAGCTGACATTTGAATGTTGTATATTCATTTTTAATACAGGGGTTGCTGTTAATTTCGGCCCAAAGATTCTAGATAAGTTCAAACCCCTATCTTTTTTAACACATTTATTAATTTTTAGTCCATACCATAAAATCTAACTTATTGGTTTAATTCAGGAACTTATGGTACATGTGTGCTTATCGGGAACAGAAAAGGTAAACATCCCTTGTATATTTTATCTATATTTTATTTAGTATCTATTAAACATATTCTTAAAACCTATTTTGTAATCTGTAGGAAGCTTTCAGTGCATGAGATTGATGAATAACAGGTTCGAATAACCTATATTATTTTACAGTACCTTATTATATTTACCTCTGATTGTTAACCTATATGCCTTTTTCTAAATCATAATTTTTTTTATTGTAGGTACATATGGATATATATATATATATATATATATATATATATATATATATATATATATATATATATATATATATATATATATATATATATATATATATATATATATCCCTTATCATTACAATCAAAGGTAGATTTTTATACCTAATTACAATTCTCTCGTGCATACCTATCGACATTAAGGACAAAATTTTCTCTGGATCTAAATGACAATGTAAATAAATTATAAATTTTTAATTTCTATTATATCTATACTTTATTTTCTTATCAGTAAACTTAAAGGAGTATAACAGATTCGTACCTTTTTCAAGTCCTGGATCATAAGGTCTCTTAATCTTATATTTTCCACTCTTTGTAATTTTCTTCATTTCTTTGAGATCATGAGTCACCGTTGATGACAGAAAAAAATTCGAGGGGTCGGGAGGTAATTCTTTTACAGCTCAAAAATTGTTTTCAATGAAGATGATGAAAAACCGCATGAGAGAGGGAGGTTAATTGAACAAATTATTTTTTAAAAACCACCCACTATTCTTTTTTTTCGTTTTATCTCAAAATAAATTTCGAACCCAAATCTGTTTCCCACTCTTACTTATTGTGGCCCACTCTGATTTTTATTTGTGGCCCACTCTTATTTTTATTCGTGGCCCATTCTTAATTTATTTTTTGAATGCATGTTTGAATGACAATTATATTTCCTTTAAAGTATTTATTGTGATCACATAATTTTTATATTCATACCTAATTTTTTTTCAAAATTATTATAATAATCCATTCCCTACTAAAAATGTTAAATTCTTCAAGTAAATTTATAGGAGAAAAGCATTGGCTATATTTTCCTACTCTTGAATTATTGTTTGTGTTGAATGTATGGATGTATGTTTATTGGCTTAGTACATGTTGGATGCGTGTATTTATACGATTTTTACTTCCATTGTATCCTTTAATGCACCATCACTGTAAGTAATATTTAGGAGAATTACATTAACTGTATAATCTATCGGGTTGATTAATCAACGTTAAGAAACCTGAACCAACCCCCTCCAATAGCACTCCTACCGTTGATTAAAGATATTTACTTACTTTGTATCTTTAATCAACAGTTGTGGTGCAATTGGAGGGGGTAGGTTTGGGTTCGGGCGGGTTGGGGGTATCAGTTAAGAATAGGAATGACATTTTAAAAAACCTTTTTTTTTAAAATTTTTAAAAAACATTTTTTTAACATTTTAAAATAGCAATTTCTGCTTTCTAAATTGTGACTTAATACTGAATTTCATACTCCTCTCTTTTCAACTTTTAGGTAGTAAATAATAATTTTAAAGTGCTATGGTATTTAAAAAACGTTTTGAAGGTATTTAGTTATATTAAAAACATTGTTATTACTTTTTACTAATGATAAATACTTATTTTACATAAGCTTTTTTATCATATAGCATATTTTTTCCAAATGTTACTTTTAATTATGGAGAGCCAGTATTGAATTGAAAATCAATGTTTTTCCAACTCTTATTTATCTAAACCAATTTAATGTTTTCAATGTTACTTTAAACTCTTATTTTGCTTAGCACAATTTTTTCTCTTTAGGTCAATAAAATTAAGGTAAAACAGGCACATCCACATAGAACGTACCTAATAATAGGGAATAGTACTTAGAATAACATCCATTTATTGAAAGAAACACATGAGATAGTGTAACATAAGTAAGTCTACATGATGCGAACATTACATAAACAGAGCAAACGACCTATAACGTTCGCTAGAAGGAAAAGATGAGACACACCTTAACTAAAACAACACAACTGCCAACATGATGATAGTAAAAGACTCAAAGGGAAATAGCAAAGAAGACATAAAAGACCAACTGTCCGAAATTTGTTTGATGCCTGCTGAACACAGGACGCAAACATATTTATGGACAGATTATTAAAGACGACACTGATTTGAACAACACGAAACTGGAGACTCAAAGACTTTAGGCACCCTGTCCTATCCAATGCATAGTTTAGCCTTCTTTGCCTTGGTACTTGACCCGGAATCCTTCAGGGAATGATGCATTTCATCTTCTTCATACACTTCAGTGATCTTCTGCTTCCCTTTTTCATTCATATCTTTTCCTTTTTCACCAGAGCAGATCTGTTTCAAAATCAAAATGAATCTTTTTGTATTACCTTTCTGAGATTGAACCTTCAGTGATCAAGGAATATTGTAACCTTACCACTTCTTTGTTGAGAAATTCAAATTCATAAGAACTCCATCCGTCCATCTCTTTTCTTTCTTTCACGGCAGGCTTGTACATTGCAATTGTCTTTGGGTCTGTTACCATATTCAAAACACCAAAAGTTCTTGGCCCCTTGATCCTTGTGTAGTATGTAGCATTTCGCAGAACGGTTTTAAACAATCCACTCTTGGAAAGCACTGCTTGTTCTAATTCCACCGGAAAGTCATTGTCATCCCCGTTGCGCTGAGGAAATCACGATTTATCTTTAGTCTATAAGAGAAACAATCATATTTGTTTTTGAATTAATGAATATAAGACATACCTCGATCATGATGTCTCTCAACCTTGATGCTGGAATTCCCATTATCTCTTTGCACTCTCGATCCCATAGAATGAATGTTGCATGTCCGCTCTCATCCATCAAAGTCACTGTAACTTTGTACCTAAATAATGTTTAATTTTAAAATTTATATTCTGTTTTCACACACTTTGTTCCCCTTTTGATTTTAACATTTGAAACAAATAATTCACAACATTGACAACCACTTTTACCTGTATTCCACAAATGTCATTGTTTTTGCACACTGTTCACAGCGGAAACAATCTCCATCTACGTAAACCTTTCGGATACATGTTTTGTTGTTGCAGGCCAAGTAATACCAATCCTTATAGTTTTCCACAGAAACTATGTCAGCCATTATCCAGTAATACCCATCCTGTAATCGGTATAGTTAGCACACAATATAAGAAATAGGGCTAAGTAAATAATTTTTTGTAATAGTTGAGTTAACTGCTGATTCAATAAGTAGGTTCTTGATGGTTGTAATCCTCAAATTAGCACTGGAATCTTCTGTTACTTCACTACTTTGGGTGAGTGTGAAAGTACTTGTGGATATGCTATCCTCATCCCCATTCTTGAAAGCATTCATAAATTCTTTTGCTTCTTCCCAATCATTGTCTAGGATTAGTTTTGTCATGGAAAGAGGTGGAGATAGACACTTCTTCTGCAATTGAAAAGTTATTTTGTAAAATGGGATATAAATAAGTAAAGATGTTAAAGGCATCAAATTATTGCGACATAGATTGGTACTCATGTATTCCTTTGGGCGGCCAAACTGCACGATTAGAATAGGATTTGTGATCCCTGCTCCAACAGATTCATTGAACTTTTCAATGTAGTCTCCCCAAAGAGTGCACCGTAGTTGTTGTCCCCTATGAAACCAAATATTGGTAACTTTACATTAGGAATAGAGTTCAGTTGAATATACATTCTATGAGTATATCGCATAACCTTGTATCTTCCAAAGTCAGCTCAATGAATCTCTGTGGAACTCCGAGAACAAATCGGCTTTGAATTCCAGTCCTTGCAATTACTTTTCCTATCACATCTGCAAAATGGCATGCATGTTAATACACAGGTTATAGTAAATAACTTTATTGAAATATTCTAAGGACTGCAAAAAAGGTTTTTACAAAAAAATTGAAACGTGCATCCTTACCAGTTAGCAGATTCTGGCTCAAGGGTTCCAATAACTTCTCAAAAGGACAGAAGTTAAACATGAATTTTGGAAATCGGTATGCACTTAAGTCTTTCCAGTGTGTGTCTTCAAAGAAAGTCAGGGTAAAAGGGTGGTTTGTGGTCTTGTAATCCTGATTGTTACGCATCACTATGAAATTCTTCAATGCACATACTGCCCCTTCCTTGATTTTGGCTCTGAATTTCTTCATTTCAGGCCTCCTAATCCGTGCATGAATCCTTGTTCCCTATTGCAAAAAAATGAATTTGGTCTGCCTGTATATTAAACTTTGTTTGATTGTGGATTGTACATGATTAAAGTGTTTACCTTTGAGTCATGAAAGATCACTTCTATTGTGCTTGGCCTTGCATCACGGGTGGGTAAGTCGTAAACCCGAACGGCTCTAACACAAATTCCCTTCTCTTTTTTATTATCGTCCAAATCTTTCAAATCGCACCACAGACCTCCATCTCTGCTTGATTCATTTGTCATTGTGATTTTTTTTGTAGGAATGTGTAAATGTGAGTTGTGTGGAAGCAAAGGAGAATGGCCTGTATATATAAGGCTATGGTGCAGGCATAGTGGGCAGTTGTATACGTATGAAGTGGGGAACTGGCTACAAAGTGGGTGGTTTTTTTTATTTTCATTTAATAATAGCAGTTTTTCTCCTAAAATCGTGTGAAGTGTGGTTCTGGGTTTATATTTCTCTTTTTCAATTTTTTTTGGATGAAGCTCCTGATTCAATTTTTGGTTGCATTAATATAAGCATTCTTTTTTTTGTAATAATAATAACAATAATATTTTTTATAAAATCAAAAAATACTGTAAACTTTTTTCAATGTAATTATTGTTTGCACAAATAAAGCTCAGTAATATGTTAAAGTAATTCTGTAAAATATTGATTCTAAATAAGTTTATCAGAGATTTTACTGATTTAATATATTTATTAAATGTTACAATTGTATACTAAAATAAAAAAGGTCGTGGGATGCACTTGAAAAACAGTTTTTTTTTCAAAGAATTGATCAGGCCAAAAAGTTTGGAAATGCAAAAAAAACGGCCCATAGCTACAGTAACCGGCCCAGAAGTTTAGGCGGGATTTTTTTTCTGCTGCCATTGTAAATAAAAGGATAGGTAATGTTTTATTAGGTAGGTAATTTAAGATAGGTAATGTAAAGTATGTAAATTAAGGTAAGAAATTAAAAAATTGTGTTTGGATATTTAGTAGGTAATGTAAGGTAAGGAACACAAAAAATTACCTAAATACTCATAAGTAATTTGGTTCTTTGCTTCTCCAGTGGCCATCAATTACAAAAATAGAAAGAACTAAATTATAAAACAAAGAAATTGAAAACAAAAAAATGGAAAAAAAATTGAAAAAGAACAAAAAAATAAATTTGAAAAACAGAAAAATGAAAAGTAAAACCAAAGAAAACAACAAAAATATAAGGTAAAAAATAGAAAACCATATACAAAAAACAAAAAAAACGAAAGAGATTGAAAGCAAAAAAAGAAAAAGATTGAAAGCAAAATAAATTGAAGGAGAAACAACCGTAAATCTTCTGAGAAATCCGGAAATCGCAAAAAACGGAAGAAAAAGTGGGATCCGAGGAGGAGGAGGAGGAGGAAGAAGAAGAAGAAGAAGAATAAGTTTTGATTTTTCCAATTCTGTCTGTTTACAGATTAAGTGATATTTTAAAACATTTACTTGATTTAAGAATGTTAATTTAGGTTTTAAAAAAATTCTGGAATTAGAACTTCTTTATTTCTATTTCCATGACTATTATTTTTAAAAGATCTACTTCATTTCAGAATCAAAAGTTAAGTTAAACAAATTCTTGAAAACTGAACTATTTTTTTGTTTATATTTAAATTACTCTATTATTTACTAAGTCAAATTTTAAAACATTTACTTCACTTAATTTTTTCGGATTGTTCATTGGTGTTTTTATTGTAGTTAGAAATTTTATTTATTGGTTAATGTTTTGATTTAAGTTCTTAATGCTTCATACAGGTGACCAAATACAATTTGTGTTCTTTGTTGGTCCTGTTCCACTTGCTTGGTAGGTTAACGCACTTCTATGCTATGGTACTCTTGACATTTTATAAAAAAAGTATTTGTATTCTGATCTTATTGAATTTCAACTAAATTATCTAGGTTGTGGTGTGTTTTGGGTTTACATTATAAATCGAAGCTGATACTTATTATTTAGTGTCACATATTTGTTACTGGCTTTGGTGTTTTTTGCCTTCTTCATAGGCTTTCATACTTCAGGGTATGTTGTTGTTGCTAATAGAATAATGATAATGATATTCTTAAATAATTGAAGTTAAATCTGAACTGTTAGTGCTAATGTAGAAACTGTGGATATTTACAGCTCCCATATTATACCCTTCTTAGTTGCATACTTTAAACAAAAAAAGAAACATTGGGAAAGACTGCATTTTAAAATGAAGAAATAGTGTTCTTCATTGAATTATAGCTTTTGAATAATTCTGTTAGTGTGATTTCAACTCAAATCTGTTTTATTACTAAAACAAGTTCTCTATGTGTATGTGAGTTTTAGTTTTGGATTTGTTGGTTGGTGTTTTTATTTTTCTAAAATTTGAATTGCCTTTTGTTTCTGTTTCAACTACTCTTTTATTTACTGTATTTTGAAAAAGTCCTTTCTTTGTTTTTTCTATTACTAAAAACACGTTCTCTATGTGTATGTGAGTCATTATTTTGGATTGTTCATTGGTGTTGGTGTTTTTATTATAGGTAGAACACTTTTTTTTAATGGTTATTGTTTTGATTTAAGTTCTTAATGCTTCATACAAGGGACTAAATACAATTTGTGTTCTTTGTTGATCATGTTCCACTTGCTTGGTATGCTTATGCACTTGTAATCTATGGTTCTCTTGACTATTTTTAAAAAAGAATTGTTTGTATTCTTTTTTACTTCGAACTAAATTGTCTAGGAAGTTGTTTAGTTTCATGCTTGCGGTTTTGACTTTACATTTTAAAAGAAGCTGATACTTATTATTTTAGTGTCACATATTTATTCCTGGCTTTGGAATTTGTTTTCTGACCCCTTCATATGCTTTCATACTTGAGGGTATGTTGTTGCTGCTAATGGAATAATGATAATGATATTCTAAAAAAAGTATGAAATCTCTCTTATGAAATCCTAACTATTAGTGCTAATGTAGAGATTGTTGGTATTTAGGACTCCCTGAATATCTTTCTTCGCATTGTTTATCTCAGTTTTGAAATGAACACTCATCACAGGTTTAAAATAAGGTATATGTTCTTTGCTTATTGCTTTCTCTGGTCCTTAATTGGTTCACCATTCTTGAAACTTACTCAAACCATTTGTGTATGTACTTTGGTCAATTGAACTATGTGCTGCATTTTTAAATATAGAAATGGTTTTCTTCATTCCAAATTTGCTTAAAAATTTTGTACCAAATTTTCTGCCCTTATATTAAATTTATCCCTAGGGTTACTCAGCATTTTGTAAAAAATATTGCATATATTATTATTGTTGTGGCACTAATTTCAAGTTATGAAGTTCGCTCCTTCGACATTCTCTTCATTTTTATGGTTGTTTTGAATTTACTCTTTCCGTACCTTTTTCTTTTTAACGTTTATTTTCTACGATAGATATTACTCTGTTAAGACTCTATGAATTGAATATATTAAATGTATAATATTAATTAACACTTAGTTTCATTTATAAGACATTATAGATTCAATGGAAGGTGAGGTCATTCTTGTTGAAATCCCACCACAATTCCTTCTTGATGCTACTAATGTTTCAAATTCATTATTATCACTAATACCAGCTATTTATCCAAACCTAAACCTCTTTCACCAAGATCCATATACGTTAATGGGTAGAATGATACTAACTACTGCAAATGACTATGCAGATAAAATAAATGACTTTCTAATCTCTTGATTCCCCGGAGATTCAAAAACTTTCCTAAGCAATGATGAAGCACTAGATTCAAGGTACAAAGGTTGCCCAGATTTCTTGCATACATTATCATTTGCAGGGCTGCCTCCCCACACATTAGTTTTCAAAAAAGAATTGCCCCGTAATCCTACTGAGAAACCTAAATCCATGTGAGGGCTTATGTAACATCACATGCTTAATCTGCGACACATTTAATAATCATCTCATAAGTTGTTTCATAGCATGTGGTGAGTAAAAAGGCAAAGATGTGTTCATACCAAGAATACCACTTGAGATCTCTAGAGATGAACGATACCATTTAAGAGAACTCCAGTTCCCATTAAAATATGCTTTGCAAATACAATCCACAAATCGCAAGGTCAAACACTCGAATTTGCTGGAATATACCTCAGACAACCTATTTTTTCTCATGGGGAATTATACGTTGTAATGTCGCGTTAAAAAATATGCTGCCTCCGTGAAGCTCCTTATTCATGACAAAATAGATAATTCCAGAACCACAAATGTCACTGCCAACACCGTTTATACAAAAATCTTGGAATACCTTACCCTATAACCCCCACGATGATTTCGTTCTACGCGACCTATTGTAACACCCTAATCCGCCCAGGTCTGCAGCCCCTTTCGGACTAAAGTATTTAACTTGGTAATCGTAAAATTTAAAACTTTTCAAACACACTTTATTAATCTCAATAATATTTTTCATAACATATACAGTACGGAGTATTTAACAATATTGCGGAAGCGAACTTAATATTGACATATCATAAATCATTTCAAACTTGTCACATCCATCCCGACAATCTCGCCCCATCTGCCGTCAGGATCACATTAATCTTTCTGTTTACTTGCGTGTAGCAAATAAAACAAACACACTACACGCTCAGCGGTAAAGCTGAGTAAGCATATCTAATGCGTTGAACATCCGTATAAACTGAATCTAAATTCATAATCAAATCTTTTGATATCATGCACACAATGTTCGTTTCAGACATTCAGAGTTTTGATATTATTCAGTTCATATCAACACATTTTATTCAATTCAGATACTATTTCAATAGTGCTCTTAAATTATTCTTAATCTAAGGCCAGATCATAACAACGCTCTTAGCTATTCTTAGTCTAAGGCCAGGTCATAATAATGCTCTTAGCTATTCTTAGTCTAAGGCCAAATCATAATTTCATTCTCAGATGCTTAAACTATAATTAGTTTAAGGCAAACATTTCTCAGACGCTTAAACTATAATTAGTTTAAGGCAACA